ATGCTTCCTCCACTTCAGATTTCCATAGACAGACTCACAAATAACATTTTATGTTGATAAGTAAACAATACTATTTCCTGTAGGAAGGAACTGTCACCTCCTTGGGTTTTTTTTTTTCTCCCTCCGAAAGCGGCTGGAGGCGTCACGCCCTTAATGTGAGAAAAGGAAGGCTGTAAAGTTGTCCTCTGCCTAGCCTGGCAGATTTCTAATCAGGACATAACTGTCAGGCAGAAGACCAGGGTGATGAACGTAGAGAATGTGGGTGTGGAGCATCAATCAAAACTGAGACAGGACTTCCACCAGTCTCTTAGGTCTCATGCATGTGTGAGATACGGAGGCCACAGTCAGGAAGAGTCATGAGTGTGATCTTTTTAGAATGAATGTCCTTTGAGAATTCTGGGGATTTAAAAGGAAAAGGAAGAAAGTTATATTCTTTCTCCATCTTTAGATACCAGTCTTCTGCATAGGTCCTCATTCTCTTCCTCTGTCAACTGTATACGTGGTTCTGATCTGCTTTGGTAAAGTAGAACCAGGCAATCAATCTTTTGGTCTAGTACTCTTGTGGTGGAGGTGGTGATGATTAATTATGTCTCACCCCATCTGGAGTTTTCTTCCTTTTTTTTGGCTTTTTGGTGAGGCAGTCCGGGTTAAGTCACTTGCCTAGGCTCACACAGCTAGTAAGTGTCAAGTGTCTGAGACCAGATTTGAACTTAGGTCCTTCTGACTCAAAGGCTAGAGCTCTATCCACTGCACCACCTAGCTGCCCCCCATCTGGAGTTTTCTTGGCAAAGATACTGGACTTGTTTGCCATTTCCTTCTCCAGATCATCTTACAGATGAGGAAACTGAGGCAAACAGGGTATCTGAAGCCGACTTTGAACTAAGGTCCTCCCGACTCCAGGACCAGTGCTTTATCCACTGCACTACCTAGTTGAAGAATCACAGTAGCACAAAGGAAAAGTGGGATGTGCAAATCTAGAGACGTCTTCATCCCAAATGTTCAAATACACTACTTGTGCCCAGCCTGTGGTAGAGCCTTCCGAGTTCATGTTGGCCTGATGGCCACGGTTGACCACACTGTACCACGACCCAACATCGTGATGTCATTGGTCCTCTTGGAGTATGAAGGATAAATGACAATATGCGATTCTGAGATAGCAGGAGGAGGCCCATTGTCTTGGCTGCTTTTTTTGTCTGTAGAAATTTCTTCATGACTCATGAGGTTTGTTAAGAACTAACAAAGAAAACCAATAGGTTTTTTTTAGGGAGTATGGAATTGGTGGGAAGAGGCTGTATTTTACAGTGGGGGAAAAAAACACACTAGACCTGGGTAAGGTCTTACCTGGAGGTAAGACCTGGGTTCTGGTCTTGGCTCTGCTTCTGTCAGTCAGTAATTCTTTTTTAAGCTCGTACTGTCTCCTGGGCACTGTGCTAGATGCTGAGAATACAGATACAAAGAATGAAACAATTCTTATTCACAATGAGCTTACATTCTAATGGGGGAGATAACAAGTACACATAAAATTTTATATCTAGCTTAAATATGATGTTAATAAATATATACACATATACATACAAATATGTAGTTAAATACATGGTAGTTTGCAAGAGTACTAGCAGCTGGGGAGAGAGGGGGGAGTTAGGAAAGGATTCATGCAGATGTTATTTTTCTGTGTCCTAAAGGAAGAGAGACACTCTGTGAGGAAGAGGTAAGGGACAGGGGTGGGGCGGAGGGCGGGGAGGGTAGTGCATTCCAAGCATGGAAGACAGCCTGGGCACATAGGTGGAGAGTTGGTGTGACCTTGGGTAAATCATTTAACCTCAAAATTCATTTAATTTTTGCAACATTAGAGTCATCCTTAATTTCTGACACTCCCCATTCCGCATCTCCAATTACCAAGTGTTGTTGATTCTGTCTCCAGAGTATCTCTCCCAGGCAGGCCCCTGTTGTCCTTCACCTGGCTATACAATAGTGTCCTAATAATTGGTCTCTGACCGAAGTGTCTGTCCTCTCCAATCTGTCCACATGGCTGCCAGAGTGATTTTTCTGAACCGTAGGCTTTCTCTGCGTAATGAGTTCCAATGAGTGCCTATTACCTCTAGGATCACATACACACTCTCCACTGTCGAGCTTTTAAAACCTTGTACAGCTGTGCTGTGACCCACCTTTCCAGCTTTATTAGATCTATGCTGTGCTCCTTCACACGATCTTTGGTCCGGCTGAACTGATCTTCTCCGTGTTTCTCATATGCTCCATGCTATAATAGCTCTTATCTTCATGTCTTCTCACAAGTTGTCCTTGGGGCCTGGAAGGCACTTCTTCCTTACTGCCACCTCTCAGAATTCCTGGCGTTCATGTGGAGTTAAAGCATCATCTTCTATATAAAGCCTTTCCATATCTTCCATTGCTAGTGCTTTTCCCCTCAAAAAAAAAATTACCCTGCATATATTTAGTATGTATTTATAGAGGCACATATCTCCTTTGATAGAATGTGAGCTTCTTGAGGGCAGAATCTATTGCATTTTTTAAAACCATATTTCCCAATACAGTGTCTGACATAATAAGCATTTAACAAATGCTTGCTTGTCTGAATAGTCTGAGCCTTAGTTGCCTCTTATGCAAAATTAAGAAATTGGACTAGATGATTTCTAAGGCCTCCTCCATTTGAAAACTTGATAACTTTGATTTGGAAAGGGTTCAACACTTTAGTAAGTGACTGCTATTTGCCGAGTCCTGGGGATTATTGTCCCCATTTTACAAATAAAGAAACTGAGGCATGAAAATGATATGTGTGTAAATATGTACATTATACACACACACACAGGTATATACATATACATACATATATATGTGTATATATATATATATACACACACACACACGCATGCTAGTTTCTGCCTTCAGGGAGCTTACATTCTACTTTTCAATTTCTACTTCTTCATAATTCCTTATAAAGAAAACATGCATACTCATGGCACCTCTTTTATCATATCATATCAAGGGATAGTGACACATTAGAGTGGAGCAAAGCCACTGAGTTGGTATTGCCAACCTCAGAATCTGTGTTTCCCTTTATCCTTAACTACCTTATGAAATATGATAACCACCACCAGACTTGTAATCACTGTCCCTCAACTCTTCTAAAAGGGTCTTGAATGGGTGACTAGAGCTGGGCTGAAGGTTGCTTTTTTCCCAGATTACCCTGATGTTACTGCTTTATTTGTATCACGTTCACTGGTTATTTTATATAATGAAATAATTGGTATTTGTATAGCACTTAAAATTTTTGCATAACTCTTTACCTACATTATCTTATTTGAGCCTTACAACAGCTTTGTGCCCTGGGTACAGCAAGTGTTATTGTCCCCATTTTACAGATAAAGAAATTGAGCCACACAAATTAAGTGACTTGACCCTAGTCACACACTTTGTTGGTCAAAGGTGGGATTTAAACACAAGTGTCCTTGATTCTGACCCCATCACTGGCTTTCCGATGCCATGTTGCCATCTCATTCATTCTGTTGGTTAGAATATTTTGTTAGTGAGAATAGGGTCTTAAGTTTGTTTCCCACATGAAAGCTTCAAGTTCATGTGATATGGGGATTCATCAAAGGAACCAGTGATGTTTAACCTGGAGTAGAGAAGACTGAGGGGAACTGTGAGGGCTGCCTTTGAATATTAGAAGGACTTTTATGTGGGAAAGGGTTTAAACTTGTTCTTTTTTACCCCAGAGGGCAGAACCAGGAACTATAGGTGGGAGCTGGCAGAGACTGATATCAGGAAGAAACCTTCTAGAGCTATCCTAAATAAAATATGGGCTGCCTTGGGAAGCAGTTGGATCACCTTCACTTGAGGTCTTTAGGCACAGGCTACAGGACCACCTATTTGGGTTTGTTATAGGCCAGCAAAAACTACTCAGGACACATGTTCTATCCAGCCAAGATTCAGTAGCATCTTCTTTGTATTCTTGTGGTTGTGTTTATATATTTTGAGGCTGAGGGTTAAAAATCACTGACATACCCTTCTCACTAAACCATCTTGACCTTCCATTATTACCCTTATACCTAATCCAGTTTGTGAAAGGCAGTCTGACTAGTGAAAACCATTTATTCCCTGATTCCATTCTCTTGGATGCTCTTGATCAAGTCCAACTATACTTAATCTTATTCTCCAAAACTACAGGCCAAGTTTTACTGACTACAGGAATAGAGTATTAGACCAGAAGATTGGTTGCCTGATTCTGTTTTAGGTCTAACTATTCTTCTTCTCAGTAGAGTGTAAGCTTCTTGAATGGGGAGAATGTTTTCTTTGTGTCTTCAGTGCCCAGCATGAGGTGCTGTATGCAGTAGGTGCTTGATAAATGTTTATTGCATTGAATTGGTCTTGAACAACTATGTCATTTGGGCCTGGGTCTTTCTTCCATCTGTAAAATGAAGGTGATATGATGTACCTTTTTCAGCCTGCCAAGAATAAGGATAGGGACTATTGACTGTGTCTGTGATTTAATTGGCATGAAATTTTTATTGGTGGGGAACTCTCAGATGAGGAAATTCCCTCTGCCAATGCAGGTTGGCTTTTTTAATGTAACAAATAGTCTAAGAGAGCTGTCTGGAGCACTGAGAGATTAAGTGACTTGCACTGCCTTCTTGGCTCCAAGGTGAGGTCTCTTATCCACTATATAATACTAAGGCAGCTAGGTTGTATAGTAGAGAAAACCCTGGGCTTGGGTCACAAAGATTTGGGTTCAAATTCTGCTTCAGACGTGTGTTAGCTCTCAAGAATACTAAGAGAAGAGTAAAATTCTCAAGTCAGTTGGAGAGAAAGGAAATACAGAAAGTGCTAGGATCTCTGTTACTTAGAGCATTTATGGTAGTATGAAAAGTGAAATGGGCTTTTTAATTTTTCCAGTGGGATGGATAGTGCCACCAGAAGCAGAAGTGACCCCTACAATATTTCTCGGGTCTGTTTCCTCTAATTCTTGTCTTTTATTTCCCCTATAGGAAGGGTACTTAACAAATCCAAGAAGCCTCTGGGAAAACTACCCTCATGTGTATCTCCCGTAAGTATTCTCATGGCTCTGTATGCAGGGCAATGTTTTGCTAGTTCACTAGCTTCTATAAGGAAATTATGACGAGAGCCCCCTAGGCCAGCTGGGATCTGTGCTGACTCATGCACGTCCCTGGCTCATTTAGTGTATTGTTGGACATAAATTGTTGGCATTATATGGTTTTAAGTAAATTGGAGTTTCCTCCAAAAATGCTTTGGGGATAACATAGATTCATGGTATCTTAAATGTGAAATTCATGGTATCATTAAATCCATTTCCCTGCTGCCAGGAATGACTTCACCTAAAACATACTAGGCAGATAAGTACATAAAGGTCTCCAAACTTGACACTGCCCCTTAAGGATCCCTTCTAGCGTATTATAATCTTTTTACTCAGTTTATCTTTATCTCTTTCTATCCATCCTTTTATAGCTTAAGTTCCTTTTTTTTTTCCCTCCCCTTGTTTGGTCTTTATTGAATTTTGTTCTCTTCTTCACATTACTGGTACTTTATCACTCATCTCCTCTGAAGTCCTACCCCAGTGTTTCTCATCCGGGCATGGAAGCAAACCTTCATCCTCACAGACTCAAGGCTGTGCCAGCAGGTACAAGTCCTACCACAATGAATAGATTTCCAGCTGCTATAATTCTTAAAGTACTGGATCTGGAGTCAAGAAGATCCAGATTCAAATCCTACCTCTGACACTTAATAGCTATGTGACCATGGACAAACCCCCTAAACCTATGTAAGTCTCCACTTCCTCACTTGTAAAGTGAGGCATTGGCCTTTTAAGTTGTTTCCATCTCTAAGTTGATGATTCAGTGTGTCCAGCTGTGATCTGTGGGAAAGTCAGCCAGTCAGGGACCAGTCTGGTTAATAGAAGTTTGGAGAGTTTTTATCACCAAAGGGTTGGTTTCCAGATGATAGAGTTTTCTAGCTGTAGAGACTTAGGAAGACCATTCATTAAAGCTAGGTCATGGCTATTGCTGACTATGTCAGCCGAAAGAATACTGACACCAGTAAAATCGTGGATTCTTTAGGTAAGTGAAGTGTGTTCAGGTAATTAGGCTAAAGAACCTTTAACCTTTGCTCATCACTCTTTTCCAGCACTTCAATCATTTGTGGTTTTCTTCTTAAATTCTTTATTTCCCTTTAAAGAGGGTATGAGGGGTGGGGACATGGAATATACAGGGAGCCAAGAAGTAGACCAGATATAGGAGTGGTGGTGTCCCTGGTCCTTGCCTCTGGTTTCCTGACCCTGTCCCTTAGAATGTAGGGTCATGCCATTGTGATTTTGTTTTTGTCTAATCTGGCAGGACTAAGCGTCATTGCACTGGAAAGAAGAGAACTTGGGTTCAAATCCAAGCTCCGACACTACCTGTGTGATTTTGGCCAAATTATCTAATCTCCCCGAGCCTCAGTTTCCTCATTTGTGAAATGACGGGGCTCGGATTGGATAGTCTCTGAGCTCCCTTCCAGCTCCAGATCTATGATCCTTTGAACCCTGTTATGCCCGGGCCAGACTTCTCCATGCCTTTTGCTCTTGTGTTCCAGTTTCCAGGTGAAGTTTTTCTACCTTTGTCAGCTGGCGTACTGGCTACATGCCCTTCCGGAGCTGTACTTCCAGAAGGTGCGGAAGGTGAGTAGCTCTTGATTCTGATTTCTTTTCTCAAAGTGGTATAGCTGGGCCACCTTCCCTTTTTAGGGTGTTCTGAAGGCTTCTCCCCGTTTTGCTTCCCAGCAGTGCTTTTATTTCCTCCCACCAGGAGGTGGAGATTATTGGATGGTGATGGACCTGTATTCTTAACATTTATTTAAAATCCTAGATGTCCATCCGTGTGAGTCTAATTTCCAGTTCCCATGATGATAAACCATTTCCTCCCTTTTCACACTTCCCTTCCTGGTTCATCTCTCCGGCCCTCTTCCCCCCAAGCCACGAGACTGCAAGACTGGTTGGAAAGCTTTTTGATGAAAATATCCTTCCAGCATTCTTTTCATAATTTCCTTCAGCTTTGCTTCCAATAACATCATCTCCCTAGCTCTGTTCTGTCTCCCCCCATTCCTCACCCTTTTTCCCTCAAGCCAAAGCTACTGCTGTTCCTTCTCACTTGTAGCAGGCTCCCTGGTCCCACTCACAGTGGTCACTGCTACGTCAGCCTTTCCTGCTTATGCCTGCTAACAGTGGGTGCCAAGTTGGACAGCTCCAGTTCCATCTGTTGTCTAACTCCTGCTCCACTGTATCCTTGGGCTTTGGTTACTGGGAAGGGGAAATTCAGTTTGGTCATTTCTGTTTCCAGGAGGAGATTCCACGTCAGCTGCAGTATATCTGTCTGTACTTGGTTCACATAGCTGGAGCATACCTCTTAAAGTAAGTGGCAAGAGTCTCTCCTTTCTATGCCATCTGAGTCCTCTGAGGCCATGTTCCTGCCTTGAGGTGCCAAGTGGTTGATGCCAACAGAGCTCGTGCCCTCGGGATTTTCTGCTTCCAGTTGTTAGTGGATGAACAGGAAAGAGTAGACTTGGAATGGAAAGCATTTATTAAGTGTCAAGCACTGTTTAAAGCATAGGAAATACGAATAGAAAAGCAGGACAGTTCTTGATCTCATAAAGCCCACACTTGAATCGGGGGAGACAACACATATAGGAGGTTGAGCTGTTGGGTAAATGGAATGAATGCCTGAGGGAACGTCCTTAAGGCACAGCAGCCAGTGCAGATGGCAAGAATTCATTGAGTTTCTGACTGAATTGTCATAGAGTCCAGTGTTGTCATTGGGAGAGTAGTTGAGGTAGTGGTTAAGAATCAGTAGTTAGTCAGTAAACATTATTAAGTGTCTGCTATGTGCCAGGCACTATGCTAAGTGCTGGGGATGCAAAAAAAAAAAAAGATAGAAGAAAGTCTCTGCCCTTAAGGGGATTACAGTCTAAGGCAGGAGACAATATCCAGACACCCATGTGCAAACAAGCGATGTACAGATAAGTATTTGAGAATGAGAATTAAGATCAGGAATCCAGAGCTTTGAAAGGACCTCAAGAGACCATCTGGGCCAGACCTCTTGATTAAGAAAAAACTCAAGCCCAGAATGGTCAGATATTTTGCCCAAGGTCACACAGGTAGTGTCAGAGGTAGGATTTGAACCCAACTCCAGAGCCAGTGCTTTATCTATTCACTGTACCTTGCTGCCTCCTTACTCCCTTTTCATTAAAAATTCAAAATGGGGCATTTTGTTGTCCAGAGTAAAGTAGCTTGATGGCTCTGAGGAATCAGGTCTGCCTCATCTCCCCTACCCTGTAAATCAGAGGAAGAGCACAATGACCCGTTGTACTCCCTCTTGACATGCCATGGTCTCCCTCGTGGGATGTCTGCTCCTCCTTTGTTTGAATTTGAATAGCTGCTTTTTTCCAAGGTGCCACCCCAAAGAACTCACACATGTTATTAATTTATTCTTATAACATGCTTCTTGTGACACTAGGTAGTCTTCTTTCCATATTACATCCAGGAGGAGAGAGAAAAAGAGTAATCGGGGTAGGTGACCGTGCTGGGCAGCTCAGTAATCTCGCAAGGGGGGGCTTCCCACCTCTAAAATCTCCTGCGGCAAACGTCGATTCCAAGGAGCATGGGTTTGTGGGACAGAGATTAGGGGAGGGTTTGATGCCAGCTGCAGCAGAGGAGCCTAACTTGAGGGTTTGCAGCCCTGTAGCCCTTACTGTGGGTTTTTGATGCAATATAAAAATCATCCCCACACACAAATGGTATTGCGACATTGTACAGCCGCTTCTTCCTACTTGGGTGACCTTGGGCAAATCACTTCACCTCTCTGGGTCTCAGTTTCCTCACCCGAAAAATGAAAGCATTGGATTATCTGACATCCAGTATAGCTCTTGATCCTATGATCTGTGATCATATTATGATTATTCATCACTCTTCCTAATATTATTGTTAGCACACATTTATATAGAGAGGCAGCAGGTGCTGGACTAGGAGTCAAGAAGAAATGCTTTTGTAGCCCTGAATTTCTATGAACCTGCTAGAGGTTAGTTATTCAGTCAGCAAGTATTTTTAAAGTGCCTACTATGTGCCAGGCATTGTACAAAGCATTGGGGGTACAAAGAGAGGCAAAAGATAGTCCCCTGTTCTCAGGGAGCTCACAATCTAATGGGGGAGATATCATGAAAACTATGAACAAATAAACTATGATAAATTGGTGAAAATCAGCAGAGGGAAGGTTTGAGCATTGAGGGGGACCAGGAAAGACTTCTTACAGAAGGTGAGATGTTCACTGGGACTTCAAGGAAGCCAGGAGGTGGAGACGAAGAGGGAGAGCATTCTAGGCATGGAGGACAGTCATTGAGGGTAGCAAAAATCATTGAGTTGGTATGCCACCCCCAGATTCTATGTGCCCCTTCCATCCTCGAGCATCTTCTGAAATTGAATCACCACCACCTAATCCACATGTCTGTACAATGAGTAATGACCTCTAAAACCTCTTCTAGCTCTAAATAGACGATCAAGAATTCACAGACTCATGGGATGCCATGAATACAAAGATAAGTGAAACAGTCCCAGCCCTGAAGGAACTTACCTTCTTTTGGGAAAGACAACATGTATACATATAAGTAGATGAAAAATAAACACAAGGTAATTTTGGGGAAGGTAGCACATACAGTTGGGAGAATCTGAAAAGACTTCACATAAGATACAGTGTTAAACTGTGAGGCTTGGACTTAACCAAGACATAACTCATCAGAAAGGCACCATTTTCTTCCATTGGACACTTGAGTGCTAGGAACAGGGAGGGTTTGTCATTCCACAGCCTTATTTTTCCAGAGATGTACTGGAACCAGCTCATACAGGCTGTCTCAGGAGATTGTTAGGTGTGGGCATTTATACCTTGGACATCAGGGAGCTACAAGTGAAGGTTTAATTTTTTGTTTTGTTGATTGTGTCGACTTAAGAAAGTGATGGTAAAATATTTGGTTTTATGCAGATTAAGTTTAAGATTAAGCTTATATACCTTTTTTTAGGGGGCGGGGGGGCATGGGAGCCAATTGTTAAACATTTACCCAGTAAAGCACTGGTTGTGTCCATGATCATTGGTGACTTTTTTTTCCCCATCCCAATTTCTTCACAGCCTGACCCGCCTGGGCCTGATCCTGCTGCTGCTGCAGTACGTGGCTGAGTTTCTCTTCCACATGGCACGGCTCTTCTACTTTGCAGATGAGAACAATGAGAAGCTGTAAGTGGTGATGAGAAGGGCACTAGCTGCTGAACACAGGAGGACAGAACCAGGAAATGAGGCAGGGAAAACTAGAAAAGAGGTAGCTCCCAGCCTCTAAGTAATGTCCACATTGCTCGAATATTGAGCCATACCCTGGAACTGACTATATGTCTCTTAAGAGGCCTAGGGAGCTCACTCCAGCTACTGACCTTCTTGCTCTGTGCCTCACACGTGACATTCCACCTCCATCCTCCCTCCCTTTGTCTGTCTCTTAAAGTCTCTAGTTTCCTTCCATACTCAGCTCCCACCCCCTATGCCTGACTTCCCTTCTGCTCATCCCCATTCCTGCATTTCCCCCATCCCCTAAAAATATTATCTTGTATTCATTGTGGAGCTAGAGAACTGGCCTCAAAGTCAGGAAGGCCTGGGTTCACGTCCCCTCTGACACATACATTGATCCTAGGCAGCTCACCTGACCTCTGAGGATTTGGCCACTAATTGAATAAGATTACGTTCCCAACCCACAGCCCCAAAAGTCTCCTTCCACAGTATACCAGAGCAGTAAACCAAGCAGCCTCACAGTGCTTGAAGACCCCCAGTGAGGAGGGGAGCCATTCTTCTTATGGATAGCTCTAACTGTTCAAAGTTTTTACAAGGATTTTTTTTTTTGATGAGTCACTTAACCTCTCTGCCTCAGTTTCCTTTTCTGAAATATAAGGATAATACCACCTGGCCTCCCTACCTTACAAGGAACAAATGAGATTATAGGAGTAGTAACGACGGTAGCTGACATTTATATAGTGAGATATTTGTGAAGCGCTTTGCAAAACAAAGCACAATATAAATGCTAGCTATCATCATCGTCATCATTTGCCAAGCACTTTGTGCACTTCACCTTCAGTTGATCTTTACAACAGGCATCGTTTTTTAGAGCTCAGAGGCACCTTTTAATTACATTTAATCCAGTGCCTTAACTCTACAGATGAGGAAGTTTAGGCTCCTAAAAGGGGAAGGAACTTGTTCAAGGTCACACCAAGTGGTAAGTTTGGTCAGGAGTCAGACCTTGAGGCTCTGAATTCAGTGCTGTTTTCTGCAGAAGTGAAAGTACTTTGTAAGTGCTTTACAGCTGTAATTATATGTGTTGTTCTTCCTGCTGGGTAGCTTATAATTCTCTCACACACACACACACACACACACACACACACACACACACACACCCACCCACACCCACACACACACACACACACCCCCCTCCCTCCCTCTCTTTCTCTCTCCCTCTCTTGGCATTCCTAGGGAGAAAATGTCACTGAAGCCAGGACCCTTTTTATCTCCTTTGTGGGCAGGTTTAATGCCTGGGCAGTGGTGTTTGTGGTCACCCGCCTCTTCACCCTCACCCTCGCTGTATTGGCCATTGGTTTTGGACTGGCTCGTATGGAAAATCAAACTTTTGAGCCGGAGAAAGGCAATTTCAATACCTTGCTCTTCAGGTGAGTTGGGTGGTACTGTAAGGGAATAATTTGGGGTCCCCTTGACCCCTAGAGGAAGGAGGGAATGGTAGATTCTCCCAGCTGAGGAGGCAGCTGTCTGACTGCAGGATGGAGGATGAGGTCATGTTGCTCTGCTCTTGCCCAGACCTTGTTAGGCAGGAGTCTGCCACAAATGATGTTTTCCTTCTCCTGCTCCTCACAGTAGAGCCAGTCTCCTTGAGGGGATTACTTTTCTCTGTTGCTAGATCTCATCACCACCAACATCGGAAATATGCTTGGGCCTCTTTACTTTTGTTCCTTGATGACTGAGGTGATTCTGGGTGTGCCTAATGGTTAGCGTGGAAAAGGGTGACGTGGGAGTTGGGGCATTTGTCCTTGCTCCCCCATGCCTTCTAGCCCAGGGAAGCCGTGGGGTCTTGGTGCCTCTGGTCCTGAATGCCGGCTCCTCTTGGTATTTCCCAGGCTGTGCGTGCTGCTGTTGGTGTGTGCTTCCCAGGCCTGGATGATGTGGCGCTTCATCCATTCCCAGCTGCGCCGCTGGCGGGAGTACTGGAACGAGCAGAGCGCCAAGAAGAGAGTGATGGTTGCCCCCAGACTGCCCGCCAAGCTCATCAAGAGGGAATCTGGTGAGTGCCAGGATTCCCCCTATGGCGATGAGCTGGGGGTCATCTGAGATGGATGGGGAGGGATGCCAAGGCCTAAGGCTCTTTGGACCATGCTGGTAGGACAGGGCATGGCGGGCTCCTCCTCTCTGTTCCCCTGCCTCTTTGGCTTTTGCCAGGACCTGGCTGGCACGTGCCTGGGCTTGGGCCAGGGCATAGTCTGTGGGCGGTGACAGCACTGACTCAGCTGGGACTTCTGCTTCTTGCTGCTCAGGGCAGAGAACTCTGACGGGAAGCAGGCTCTCTAGGGTGGCTTCTGGGAGCTTGTCCAGGAGCAGCTGCGGCCGGTGCCCTTCCCCTTCCCCTGCTCAGCAGACTGTCCTCACCTGCCCCTTCCCCGAGGAACTCCCTTCCTCCATGGTCGCAGGGTACCAACTCTCTCTTCGGCTGCCTTTAGGACTCTTAGGATTAAAGTAGTTGGGGAGAGCAGCTGTGTAAATGAGAATCTCTCTCTCCTGCTTCCTTCCCTATGAGCTTCAGTTATCAGGTAGATGATTGATCAGGTCTTCGCTTCCTGGCCAGTCTTGGTGGCTGGTCGGGCAGCACCAGCATCTATCTCCTGCCTTGAGGGGCCAGAGAGGACTAATCCCACTCCTCAGGATCTACTGATAGGGGTTTGGGGTAGTGACTACACAGAACCTTAGCAGACTGTTAGTGCCAGTGTAGCTAGGTGGTACAGTGGATAGAGCACTAGCCTTGGAATCAGGAGGACCTGAGTCCAAATCCAGCCTCAGACACATGACACTTACAAGCTGTGTGACCCTGGGCAAGTCACTTAGCCCCAATCCTCACCTAAAAAGCAAAAAAAAAAAACCCCCAAAAATAAAACCTAACTATTAGTGCCCCATAACTGTCCAGAGGGCCTCAGAATGCCTCTCTTCCCCCTCACACTTTTTCCTTCAAGGAATACATTGAAGGGACGGCCTGTGAGAGAGTGCCAGGGCAGGGAGCATGGAACTGTGGGGAGCCGGCCGCTACTTTTTCAGTTGTAGGACCTGGAAATAATTCTCTTTCCCCTCTTGGCTGCTCCCGCACGCTGTGGTTTTGTCATTCTGCGCTCCTCACCTGCCCTCCTCTGACCTCAGGCTGACTTCCTCCCCTCATGTGCTGATATTTTCCTTTTGGCAACAAACTACGGATATATCTGTGTATTTTTCTCTCTCCACTTCCCAGGTTACCACGAAAATGGAGTACTGAAAGCAGAGAATGGGATGTCCCCACGCACTAGGAAGTTGAAGGCTCCTTAAAGCCAGGATGTGGAGAACAGGAATCCTTCCTAGTGGGGTGTGCAGTATGGAGGCCATGGGCCCAGGACTAAGTTACTGCCCCTATTTTTCTGCTTGCTACACTCCCATCTTGAAAGCTGAAACATGTCTTTGGAAAGTCTCTTCTCTCTCTCTCTCTCTCCTCTCTCTCTCTCTCTCTCTCTTCTCTCTCTCTCTCTCTCTCTCATCTCTTGTCTCATGTCTTTCTGTCTCTGTCTGCCCCCTTTTTTATAATACATTTTCAACAAAACCAAAAATCTTCTTTCTTTATGTTCTTGAGCCAACTCACTTCCTCATATCTTTTGTTTGCTGGGGAACCTAGAATCCTTAATCTTTATAGTTGTCTTTTCTCTGTCTCTTTGCTGTTTTTGTTCACCAATGTTTTTCTTATATTATTGTGCAATTATTCAATGTCTGATTTTTGTGATTAAGGAGGCCCATTTTTTCACCAATGCTGTTCAGCTTCAGCTTCTCATGGGCCTAATGCATTTCCAGGGAGCATCCACTTAGGGCTGTTCCCTGTTAGCAGATATCCATGTCCTTGGACTGTTGCACCCTGTGGTCAACACATAGGATGGACAATAAGAGGAGAAATGACTGGATCCTAAAATTTGCCCTTCTTGACTAGTCATTTAATAGCTCTGTTTAGCTGCCCAGATGTTTTATTTCCAGTTCCCCATGGGCTGTCCCAACCCACAGAGGTACCACAATGGATTCAAATGTCACATGCGGAATTTGGCATTGGGACATAGTAATTCAGCCATGAAATGTAGTCTTGACTCTTGGATCCTGGGACTGAAGAGATACTTGCCTGCTATTATTCCATTAGGGAGGTGCTGTTGGAGGATCAGGTTCCTTTCCTCCTCATACCCTAAGGCAAAAGCAAAGGCAAAGTAGACTGAGGCAGGGGCCCATTTCAGAAGGCAGGCTATCAGACAGATATGATGCTGATCAACTCCCTTCTTTTACATCCCAACCTGCAGTTGCTTTATTGACAGATTGATAAGCATCCCAAAGAAAACATGGTGAAGAGAACCAAGGACATATTAATCTTAGACCCAGAGCAATCTTAGGTCCCTCTCTGGAACAAGACTTGGCATCCTATTTTTAAAACCTATTTGATTTCCTCATTTCTTTAGGTAGTCTCACTCAATTCTGGCCCTTTGCAACCTCCTCTCCATTCTGTTTATTTAGCATTAAGGGGCAGGATGGGAATCGACTTTCTGGCCTTACTGGTGGCTCTTTTTTTCCTACAACTTGTTCTCATCATCATGGATGGTTGGTGGTTATTGAGTGTATCCCATGATAGAAAGGATGCTAAGTCCATCTTCTTGATGTCTCTGCCCCCAAGAGAAAGCCTTCAGGGCTCTGTATGGTGTCTTATAAAGTCTTATGGGGGAAGAAAGGGAGTTAGATTTTAAAGAATCTTAATAATCCTGAAATCTCTATAGAGGTGTAAGGGAGTAGCTCTGGGTGCCCAGAATGAATGTCATCTCTTACCCTGCTGCAGGAACTTGCCTTCATCTAGTGTTAAAGACTGGATTGAGTTGTATTATAAGAGGCTAAGTTAAGCTGTCTCCACTTCTTTGGCCTTCTTGGGCAAGGTCAGCCATTCTATCCTCAAACTACCCTCAAAAAAGGGAGTTGGGTTTCCATTTAGAAGCCCTAAGGCTGTTGGATCATAGACAGATGGACTTGCATTTGCTAGTCAACAGGGATTAGTTGGAAAGGGTATCTGCTATCCCTTGGACCTTCTCTTCTCCTTCTAGGAGCAGGTTATGAACAGGGAAGAAAACAGATCACCGAGCCTATTGATTGCCTTTGAGAACTGGCAGGGCGCTGTTGAGTAGGGAGTAGATAGCTCCTCCTCTCCCTGACTCCTCTTCCCTTGGTTTTCTCAGGACTACAGAATGGATAGAGTGGTTTGGGCCTCAGCTAGTCAGGCCTTTGTGTGTTTGAGAGCATTTTCAATTTCTCTCAGATAGCTGTAGGGTAATGTGTAGCAAATGGGTTCCTGCCTTCTTCAGCCCTTTGTCATCTACCAACAGAGGCTGTGCTTTCCTGTGTCCTGACTTTTTTCTAAGAGCAGTGAGCTGTTGATTATTAAACCAGTTACTTCCTAAGGCACCACCTAACTCTTCTATCTTTCCTCATACCCATAATCTCTGGTACTCACTTGGTCCTATCCTTGACAGAGCCATATTCTCTCCCTGCCAAAAGTTGTCACCCGAGGTGAACACTAGTCGTGCTACTCACATAGATTTGCCCATGTTTTATCTTCAGATCCTTTTAGTTTCACGGAGAACAGGTGACAGGTCCCGAGGAGGTTCCCAACAAGTTTTCAGGTAATGTGGTTTATCCTAGGTGGACTTAACAGACCAAGAGTAGGCAAGTAGCAATGGTTCTTTTCAGGATATATGGACATCAGGAGAATTCAGGAATAAGACTTGTGTCTAATGGTATTGAACTTGCGAGTTCTGGTTTAGCAGAGGTACAGTGTATATGTAGCTACACTTGTTCACTACCAGTGAACTACCTGGCAAATTCATTTCAGTGCAAGGCCTTGTTAAAAGAGTGGATTGAGTTGTGTTGAAAGGGGCTAGGTTAAGATATCTCTACTTTATCTTTGGGCTTTCTGGGCAGGTCAGCCATTCTGTCCTTATTCTTGGGAGAAGAGGTGATGACTAGTGACCCATGAACCCACTCAACCAAAGTGCTAAGACACCAGTGAAGTCCCTGCTTTCATCTTCACCATCCAATCTGAGGCCTGGCTTCTGTTACCCTCATTACCCTGTGGGAATGGGAATGAAAGTCTAATCTACCTCAGCCACTGTCTTTCTCTCAGTGGGGTCTCTTGGCTTTTGTGGCATCAATACACTTGGAATTAAAGGGAAGAAGAAGGGTATGTTAGGAGGCCACTGTGGGATAGGTGCCTGTCCTCTTCCTTGGAGCTAGGGGGGCAGGGGTTACGGTTTGGGGTTATTTCATATGTAGCCCAACATCTGGGCTGCAGGACAAGCATCTGTACATTTGGCCCAGTATACCTGTCTCTGTAGAAGAAGTTTGGACAGACAGCACTGATGGGAAGGGGTCTCTTTAGCTTCAGATGGATTGTTCTAGGGAGAGGCGATAGGGCCAAGTTGAAAGGGGGTTTGCTTCTCAACTCTGGAAGTCTATTCTCATCTGTTTACAGTATTATCTGACTTAGCACCTGGACCCAAATGGTTGCTGAAAACAATGTACTTCTTATCATGGTGTCTGCCATTTCAGGCTCTGAAGAACCCAGGGTACAGTTCTGTACTCTTAACTGTCCATCTTTGAAATCCTCATAGGACACAAGAAAGTTCCAGATTATGGTTTGAATTTGAGTTGTATCTGTATCCAAAGCTTTCCTGGTAACTCTCCTTCATTGTCAGTTCAATGTAAGGGCTCCAAGCGGTGGGAGTGCATTTTGCCTAGATTTTAGAGCTTGAGCATCCTGGCAAGATGTTGGGCTGGATTTCTTCCAGATGCTTAAGTATCCCCCATCTGCTTTCAATGGGGTTTGGATGAGAAAAAAAACTATTGGGTAGACTTGGATCCAGCTGTTTCTGATGACTTCCCTCCTAGAATCTTAGTGTTAAAATCGGAATGGTCCTGACTTTTGATCCTGGAAGGAATCCCTCCCCCTCTGAGTGCCAGAAGAATACTGAAGTGACTGAGGAAAGCTGGGAGGATGGCTTTCAAGAGGCTTCCTTCCTTCATCCTACATGCCTGATTCATATCCTTTATTTATCCTTTATCTGAACTGTGTCCTTATTTCTGAGGCCCTAAGACGTCAGGGGATCTTGGTCTTTTTAGCCTTTTGATTAATCTCACTGGTGGGGCAAGGTGACTGATAGGGAAGAAGGAAAAAAAAAAAAGACTTCATCCTGCCTTGCTGTAGTTAGGCAGCAGGCTGAGGCTTCCTCCTCAGCCTGCCTTGACCTTCTAAGCAGGACCTTAGTGCAGAGATGTTTAAAATTCTCACCACTCTAAAGGCTGAGAGAGCCCTCTTCTTGCCTTTAACCCTTTCCTAGCTAACTCTTTTTACTGGGTGGTCTTTGGGTTCAAAGAGAGCCACAAAACAAACACAGCAAGACCTTGCATCAGTGTGGGCTCCCCCCTCTTAGTACCTCCTTGTTTTGTAAGTCTTAGGAGTAGATGATTTATCCTTTCCGTATAACAAGTGCCTTACTTTGCCAGTGCATTCTTTTGGACGCCAACATATGTACTGTACAGAGTTCTCCATTTCTTCCTACTAACATGACCATGTGGTCTGTGTGCCTCCCAAGGACACTGCACCCAGGAGTGGCCACATATAAAAGGGACTCAGCACGTGACAGTCTTGCTTCCTTGGTCTCTGTGCCTTTATCTTATTTTCATTGTTACCCTAGTATGCTTTTGACCATGTTTTTTGGCTTTTGCCTCAGTTGATTTTAGGGTTCTTCATACCAGGCCTCAGAAGCATGGCAGCTTCTCTAGGTATGGGTGTAGACTGGGGTGGCAGGCCTTCCAGTAGCAAGCAGTGCTCAGTTACTTCTTATGGCATTGTTCTTCATCCCATCATACCCTCCCTACTCACCCACACCATGAACCATCCTTATCTTTCCTTCTCTTGTCCCTGCCCAGACAACTCCTCGTTATAACCCCATCTCTTCCTGATTTGCTTCTGCATTCAACCCAAAGTCTATAATCTGGAGTTTACTCTTCCTCCCAGACACAAGTGTTAATTTGTAGACGTAGATGCCTGTTTTACAGAAAGTCAGGTCAGTGTGGTCCCTTGTCATAGAAATAATTGTATTTAGTTCATAATTCAGTGTTATCCATGTGTTACCAGCAGTTCTCCCTCCCCCGACTTCTTCCGGGTTGTGCAATAACTCTCCCAGAACTCATTAGTTTCCATAGTTCCTTCTGTCCATTATGAAGCCCTGGAAGTTGGGAAGAGATGGGACATGTAGGAGGAACCATCATCCTTCAGTGGAGAAATTCCAGCCATTTCCTCTCTAGCTGCAATTCTCCTTGTCCTAGATAGGTTTCTGTGGCTCTATGGTAGAACATGTAGCATAATGTAGAAATACATATTTAAAAAAAGAAACCTTGTTGAAAAAAAACGTCATGATGGGGCATTAATGTGTTCAATTTTGAATATGACATTTGGGAGTAAGATTTTGGT